ACTCTTTTGAAGTTTACAAAAAAGAGACAAGTTTTAGAAATGTCAGTATTAAAATACTGAGCTTGTGCCTATGAAGTGGATCATATAGTGGAAGGCTTTGCCAGAGTTAGACTAATAATTTATCAGAACTCTATTGATTAATGCCAAAGCTCCGAACAGTTCCTAATATAATGGTAGCATAGTGAGGGGAAGAAATCTGACGCATTTTTATTCCTTTTATGTACCTTACATTACTTTCTTATTACTATTGAATTTTTATATCTTCCAAACCTCATAATTTGCATTTACTAACCTTAAAGTGCTTTCTTAGACTTTCAAACCCTTTCTTAGACCCTCAGACACTTTATTAAATCCTCATAACTTAAGCTTTCATATTCTCAGACCGTACATAATCTTGACATTTTTTCCTGTCTAATTTTCTACCCTGAGACACAGGTGCTTGATTACTGGGAGCAATAAAATGAGTTCCTTTTAGATGAAAGGGATAGTAAAAAGTTACTTCTTTCACTAGTCTAGTGTTCAAATCCATCAGAGATCTCAGAAGGAGAAATTGTAGCAGGAAGTATAATTCAAGTGGTCTATGTATCAATTAAAATGACAGAGCTTTACTCATTACCTAGATGGCCATCTCTTTAGGCTTCTGTGATGTTGCTGGCTCAGTTGAGGACACAGGTCCCAGAATTAGTATCAGTCTTGGGCCGCCAAGCTCTGATAGACTTTTCTGTGAAACAGGAACTTGGGAAGGCTGTCCTATCCTTGTCATAGACAAAGTAAGTGAGATTTCTAGTGTCCTGCCTGCCCACAGATTGGGCTAGGTCCTGGCAGCAGGCAAGGCATTGAGGCCATCATGCCCAGTGGTTAGTAGACCAATACAGGTGGAATTGTTGGTCCTCAATTTATCTTTTTGAGACCTTGGGCAGGTCACTGCTAGGATTTGGGAGTCTTTGTCTGTCATGGTAAATGGATGAGAGGGAGTTGGGGTGGTTGGAGCTAGGCAGCATCTGGAACCACAGCGTTCAGCCGCTGGACCTGTTTTATAGTGAAGGAAGAGGCAGGATGAGAACAGTTCCCCAAAAACACGGACAGATCCAATTTGGATAAATTTCACAGCAGACACCCCAAGGGTATCATGGTTTAGCCCCAGTGGTGTCCATTTTCTCAGCTTTTGACAAAGACCAAAGGCTTAAATGTACAGTGTCCTATACATAAGCCTGGGGTCATACAGTGTGTGTGTGTGTGTGTGTGTCTTGGGGGGGGCAGTGCTTCAGGTCAAACATCTTTGAATCGGAAGGCTCTCCCTGAAACAAAAATGATCTTTGTTCCAGAAAGATAGGGTTGCCCTGACTGGCTGGCTCGTGGCAAGGGGTGGGAGAGGTGGGGTTCTGGAGTCCCAGAAAAGGCACCTGGTACCACTTGGCAGCAACTGGGAAGGGATTACTCAATGAGTTCAAAGTTAGTCACATTAGGCGGAGAGAAAGATGGGGGAAAGGAGTGCCCCCCTATTCACATGTAGGGCTGGGGGCTTAGCCCCCCCACCAAGTTGGGGCGCCAGTAAAATGAGCAAATCCAAGCTAAGTGAGGGGAAGTAAAGGCAGGTTTATTGTGGGCAGCTCTTCGCGGGTTGTTCACCAGTCCCAAGGAACAGGTCAGGGAAGTTGCCATGTAGGGGGAGACAGAACAGGGTGGGTGCAGAGAGAGACGAGAGAGGGACAGCAGGGAGAGAGAGGGGGAAATGCAGAGAGGGAGGGAGAGAGAGAAGAAGGAAGGAAGGAAGAGAGAGAATGAGAACCAAAATGTCTGGATTATATAGGGAAGCCCATCCCGTGGGCTGGAAAGTTCAGGGTAGAGGGTGGGGTATGCCAACCATGCCCTGTAACAGGTAGGGACTGAAGGATGCTGGGGTCAGTTCTGCTTTGGTTAAGAAGACACCTCAGCTTCTTGTTCCAGGTCTGAAAGCCAGCACCTGACAGTGTGCAGTGCCTGGACAGTCCTCAGCGCTTGCAAATACCAGAATTCACTAACCTAGAGGTGTACTCCTTAAGATGCACTGAGAAGAATATTAAGCTAACAATTTGTGAACATCAACATTTTTCCTGGTTTTCATTTTCTTTTCTTTTTTTTTTTAAGTGAAGAAACATATTTGACCAATGTGGAATCATCAAACAGGCTATCAGAACACTTCAGATTACTGAGGTTAGAAAGATGCTGAAGTTATGTGAGAGCAAAATATCACTAGACTGTAGAAGAGTTTGGTGATGTCCTACTGGGATGATAGCGTTTCATGGCAGTCTTTTCATCCTCTGCCTCCTGACTTCTCTCCGGCCTCTCTTCTGTACTGTGGCCTAGGCCTTGGGGGTAGGAGTGTGTGCTTGTCTTATTCAGGACTGAGTGCTCCTCACTTACTCTTCTCAGAGCTTTGATGGCATGAAAGTCTACCTTAACTGCCACCCTCTGCAAAAAGGCTAAAAGCTGCACTAGTCCATGGGTATGAACATTTAGATGGCTGCCTGACTACATGCTCATCAACACAGCAGCGGTGTGTTCCTTCCTTGGGCTTATGCCCTCAACAGCCATAGGCCCTTGGCCTGGTTTGTAGTATCAGATATATATTCCTGCCCATGGAACAGGGCTCACATCCAGTCCCTGCAACCACACACACAGAAACATGCATGCACAAGACTGGCCCTCCAACATCCCGTCATGAACTGAGGAGGTGCCATGGGGTCCTGAACTTCTGAGGAGCTAGTGGCTGTAAATGGTTGCTAAAGGAAGTGATGTCATTTTCGCTTATGTAGCCACTGTGGGACTAGGTGGGAAGAAGACAATTTTTCAGAAGAAAAGGAAGGAGGCATACCAAAGAGTAATGGGGCAAAAATAATCCCAATACATTATATATGTGTGTGTGTGTGTGTGTGTGTGTGTGTGTGTGTGTGTGTGTGTAATATGTATTGTATTTATTATATATTATATTAATATATTAATATTATATATATGAAACTGTTGTAAAATAAAGGGAAGATAAACAATTGGACATCATTCATTACTAGTAGCCTTATCTCTGTTTCTTGGCATATGTACTTTGGAGGGAAATATTCTACAATTCCTCCATTCTTCCATTCCATAGATTATTTGGCTACTTATAAAAATTTTGTTTTCTATCAATTTTAAGTCATACTTATTCTCCCAATTTTTAAAACGCTTTTAAAGACCCTAGTAGAACATTTTCTGCCTCTTCCTACTTTTATTCATTGTAAAATGTGCTTAAATAATTTTGATTAATGTTTTAATTTTTTTATAATGATACTTATATGACACTGAGTAGAAATAATAATGTGTTGAAAAAACTAAAGATATTCCAGTTCAATAATTCATACAGTTAGCTGCTGAAAACCTGCTCTAATAACGGTCACTTTTTAATTTTTCTCTTCTGTTGGGATTAATATTATAGTTGAATAAATCACAGAATAAAACACATACATTTACTTTAAATAATAAAAAGCCTTTTTCTTTACTACTTGGTGTCCTTAGTATATATTATAAAAAAATGCATACTAGTTTTGTCTCTTTCCTGGTACCATTGGAATAAAATAGGGCAAACACCCAAATTTTAAGTAAATTCACTGGAATACATCTTTGATCTCAGATGCAAAACATGTTTTCTATATTATGTAGGCATTGCTATAACACACTCATAAGTGAATATGTGCACGAGACAGCATACATTTCTTCTAAATAGGATAACATTTATGCATAATTATAAACTTATTATTGATTTTCCAACTCTAAAGTCACCATAAGGAAATATTTTAAAAATATGTTCTAATCTAAAGCAAACTTAGTTTATGTTGTTGATTCTTGATTTGCAATTAGGAAGTGAAAACTTTTAATTTCGTAGGAAAATGCCTTCTGAGACTTAGTGCTGTGTGCATTCCTGGAAAAATGACTGCTACAGCTTTAAGATAAGGTGGTCTGGTGATTCATTGCAGGAAACAAGATCGATTTGGAGCAGGCTCCTACTGTTAGCTTTTTTGAAGATGGATTCTCACGCTGAAAATAACATAACATATTCTAAATAACAGCACCCCCTTCCCCGAAATCCACCAAAACTGAAGAAAAATCCAAGTGACTGTTCTTAGCAGCTGTGTGGCCGGGAGTGCACTGGGGAGGCTGGCTTCCTGCAGTCCCCCATTCATCACCTGCTTCAAAGGCAGCCTGGCCGGCTATAGTTTGCAGGCCAGGTAGGGTGCCATTGTGCACAGTCTGGGAGGATTAGTATCAAAGCTGCGGCAACCAGGCCCTTGGTCTCAGGCTGCCATTCAGTCTAGCAGGGAGAGGCTAAGACTGGCCAAGGTCACAGTCTCCAGTGTGGAATGGACTGGGAAAGGGTCCTGAGAATAGAATGCTTTTTATGAAATCATGGCGCAGGCTTGCGGCACAGCAGGTGCCCTTCTGGAAGACATAACATCTGTTTATGTTGGTATACCGTAGCTGACAACGAGATAATAGAGCTTTGAAATTTATCATTTTATTTTTAAAAGACAACTGTATATACAATAATCCAGATGCGTATTTCGCTCACTCAGATCTTTCATTGGAAAATCATGAAGGGAACTGATCGATTTAATTGCTGCTTTTTACATGTATATATTCAAGCAGAAAGCAAAGCGTACTGACTATTAACCGTTTACAACCATTGCTGATCAGTAATATCCAACTCTTGGGGAGGAAATACCTAGTATTCAACATAATTTTTTTTCAATGTTCAGACATTAGTGTCAACAGATTGCAAAGGATTTCCTGAATATGCCAACTGTCTGGAATATTAGGATCTTTGGATAAAATGCTCCCCATCAAATGAAGGTATTTTAAGGGTGAGGTAATAGTGATGCAAAAATAAAATTTTCAACTTGGACAAATTAGAGAAAAATTAAGCTGTACATGAGTTGTCATGACGACAAGGATGTTCTGTTGATGAACTGTCCTCCTCATTGTCCAATCAGATAGTAGAGCTGAAGCTGGAGCATGAACAGGAGAAGACGCACCTATTACAGCAGCATAACGCAGAGAAGGATAGCCTAGTCCGAGACCATGAACGGGAAATTGAAAACCTGGAGAAACAGCTTCGCGCTGCCAATATGGAGCACGAAAATCAAATTCAAGAGTCCAAGAAACGAGATGCACAGGTAATTATCAATAATATTTGCTAAAACGGTGTCTATCTTTAAAAAGTCATCAGCGTTTCATGTTTTCTTCTTCTTCTTGATGCACGCTGTTTGATCATTTGCAAAACTGACATATAAATGTGATTTTTTTTTTGTTTTCTCCCCCCACCCCACCCCCTGTTTGGAGGATGAATAAGGCTTTAACTACAGAAACCACAGGTAGCCAGATTAAAAATCCCATGGCGCGCTATAACTTGGTCCCTTTTCTATAATCTTGTCTCAGTTCCTTTCATGATTTTTTTTTAAGGTATGCCCCTTACCCCTCCCCTCAGCCTTGGAAAATCCCTAAGAAATATATTAGCCTCACCCCTGGCTTTTTGTTTTAATCTCTGAAGGCAATCAAGGAGCTGCTTTAATATTTGCTTTTCCTGACTATTGTTTCTTTTTGTCCACAAGACTCTATGTTTGATTAGCTTACTTGGATGGTAATTGATAAAAATGACTCCAGAGAAGGGCTATTTCCCATCAGGTCTGTTGCTTTTTCCTGCATGCACACACACATGCCTCCTAGCCTCCATCTCTGTAGTCCCTGTTGGAAGCCATTTGGCAGAATAACCCCCAGCTGTGGTAGCATTTGACTCTTCAAACTTATGGATGAAATGTGCACTGTCAGCATGGAAAATTATCTTTATAAATTTCAGATGAAAAAAATCTTATTGGGTATGTATCTTTGTGGTAAAATACATTCTTTAGGGTATATATAATCAAGGGCCTTTAGTATAGCCTCTTCAGCAGATTGCTGTGAAATTTTATTAAAGAAAAATTTAAGAGCAATTGGAAACAATAAAAAGATAATTTTCTTTTCTAATAAAACCATATCATCTACCAGGTCGAAAGACCTCTTTTGCCATTGAAATCCAGGCATACTAACCACACCACAATTAAGCCCTGGCTATCCTTCCTTCTAAAATATGATAATTTCCAAACAGCAAAATAAATCTTCTGGTATGGTGTGTGTTTAAGGAGTTCTGTAATTAACTAAACATCAAAACATTTCTAATTAAACAAGATGTTAATTTTTTAGTGGAGAGCGAGTGGCGGTAAGGCAGAGAATGGGAGTTGGTTATTTTTCATTTGACCTTGGCTTGTCTTTTATTTCGGAGAGTGACTAGTGTAATAGGAGTGTCCTTGACACAGTGCCCATTTATAGGGAGAGTATACTTTGATTGTTTTATGGTTCTGTGCTCACTAGACAGTGATTATTGCAGTCCGCGTGGCCCCAGAATAATCCTGTGGTTTCTAACAACATTCATTACATTTTTGCTATCAACCTCATTAGAACCTGTAGACAGTATATGCTGTTCCTTTGTTTTCGGACATACGATTTTTTAAAAGAATATTTCCAAACTTATGCCCTCCTTCAGACATAATGTTAACCTTGCCATTGTCCTCCCATGATAAGGGACATGAGGTCTGGATCAGTAGAGGATGTTTGCATTAAAAAAGTCACATAATGGATAAAATAAAAGCCATTAGTTTGCCTAACTGCCGACTCTTTGGGTGCTGGGGTGGAAAGCCGACACACTGGAGGCCAAATTTATAGGAAATCTTTGTGATTTTGCATATGCCGTATCTGTCATGTAGGGCGGGGTTCATCTGATCATAACAAAAGGGAAATTTTAGAACTATTATGTATAATTCAACCACAGGAATGGTACAATATGGCTGTTAACTGAGTTTGTGCTCATTAGAGTATTAACTGTGAAGACTCTCTGACCCTTTTAGATGCTTTGGTTTAGGAGATGTCTCATATTTTGGGTTTTTCTTAAGCATTTTACTAATTGGAATTGCTGTCATGGGAATACCAGTAAGCGACGCAAACTTGGATTCAATTCATTTCTAAGCAAAATGAAAATAATTTGGTATACGTTGTTACCTAGTTGTGTTCAGAGAATACAATTTTAAAGAACTTTTATTAAAAACTACATTTAAAAAAATCTTATCATACCTACCAAAATACTAATAATGTGTCTATGACGATTCCCTGAGGCTATTAACTTGGTTTCTTTCAGGTAGCTCCTAAATTTTTATATTGTGTCTTTTTTATGATTGTGGCCTAAAAATTTAATGTATGATACCTTTGAAGTACTGAATTCCATTCACAAATTTAAAATTCACAAAATGGCTTAATGCTTTCTAAAAGAGAAGATTTTAAAAAATCACTGTGGGTGTTTGATGTAGAAAAACACATATATTTTAAATATTAGATTGTATAATTTTTTTTTTTAAATTTCCAGAGGTATCTGATTTTCAGTTACCATTTGGTTCATCCAGTGTAGCATTGGAGGCCATTTTGTAAAAAGGACCATTTGCAGTACTTTGCTGACAGAACACCACTGTGGTGTCTGTTTTGGATACCATGGCTTTGTTTGCTGCTCTCTTCCATCAGATCCAGATCATGGGGATAGTGTTTAAAAAATAAATCATTTCCGCTTCTTCCAAATATGTAGTATATTATATGCTGAAAGACTGCCAGTGCTATGTAGTTACCCTTCTCAATGTGAATCTTGCCATTTAGGGTCTTACTTTTGGTGACCATGATTATAATTATAAGAAATTAGATTTTATCCTAGTAATTCTGCTTTTCGATAATGACAACACCAGTAATCTAAGGACAGTTAGTCACTGCCCTCAATTTATTAGCTAATTATTCTAGGTGTATGTTTTATTTTTTTTCTTACATTTTAGCAATAGGATATAGTATAATGTGATAATTATATTTGCTAAGATGAACATCAAATTTTGTCACCCTTGTTTAACATGTTCAGTCTGGTCTGTCTAACATCATTTTTTAAAAATAACATCCAGGTTGGTAGAAATCAACACCATAATTTTGTCAAATATTTTTCATTTACCAATACTCTCTTATGGAAATTGGAGAACAATTTAATTGATTCAATTGCATTTAATGTAAAGAAACTTTATAAATATCATTTTGCAAAGCTTTATCTAGTTTGGCAGCTCTGTGTGGAATTCTTACTTTCCTTTAGTATTGTCACATAATGAATTTGTTATGTTGAACTGGAATAAAAATAAAACATAGGTTTCCTTGATTTGTGGTTGTCAGTTGTCCATTTAGCATGATGAACCTTTTGGAGGTTTCTTATTCTTGTCTCTGGTTGGCCTGAATGAGAGGTGTATATGAATGCCAAAAGACAGTTGTATGGAGCCTTTGTGATCCACCCCAGTGATGGTGTCACTGTCTTAGAATGTCTGTGTGTCCTGTTGCAGGATAGACACGTCAAGGACTCAGGTCAACTGGCAGCCACTCTGAGCTCCCCCTTAGGACATGATCCTTGGAGAAAGTTATTCATACCATATAAAATATGTTAAGCCCATCACTTATATGTAGACTATAGATTCTGCATGACATTGGCATACTGAGAGTCTTCAATTTCTTAAATGGACAGTCATGATTCTAGTCATGATTAAAGGACTTTTGCATAGTAAGCAGGTAAATCATCATAATTTTGCCTTATTGATTCACATTAAGAAGTATTGCCTACTGCACAGAATAAGATGTGGAATTTATGGACCTCTACGTTAAAACCTTTCCTGAGAAGATACTTATACTTTTAAAAACTGTATTTTAACATTACATTTTCTATTAATTTGCACATATGAACACAAGTTATAAATTCCCATTTATAATTTTGATATGTGTGCTGCAATGAATTAAGCATTACTCTAACTCTTTGAAGGTTTTCAAAGGGCTAGTAGAACAATATGTGTAATCTGATCATTATTGGTGCACCTACTTATGGGCAGTCTTTGGACCTAGATAGCATTTTTCTATCATAAAGATTGACTTTTTATTTGTATATACACTATTTTCAAAAATTGCTAATAGCAACATTTTATAATAAATTCATACTTTCTAATCAAAAACAAGAGTTAAACCATAGATGATGTTAGTCACATGAGAGAATCTACACTTGTGAAAATCCTGTAGTTAAGTGCGAGGTTCACCTGTGAGCTTGCTAGAAGCCACAGCAATAAGGGAAAGGTGATGAGCTATGTGATTGTATTTACAATGAGAGAAACCATCACTTTTCTTCCTAACTCTCATTTTGGTATAAATTTATGATATGGGACTGAGTATGAAGCACATGAACATAAAACTGATGGTGTCTTCTGTAAACTAAACGTTTTCAAATATCAGGTGTGGACATGATAAAATCTTTAAAACATTAGAAGCATTTTTCACAAAATGTAAGTACTATACTCTATATCAATGAGCCTAAACTTCATTTTAACTTAATGAGAATATAATTTTTCTTGAATCAGAGAACAAAGCTACTTTGAGAGATCTAACTTTTCAGTCATTATAAATTATATTAAAATACATTTTGAGTAACAGAGCTACCAAATTCTATTGCTGTCATTTTACTGCTGGGCCTAGGTTCTAATAAAATATCTTGAAGGAACAATTTAAACCTGGCTGAGACCATAAGTAGGTTAGAAATTAGCTAATTTCCAAATGCTTTTCTACCGTACATTACATTCTATCTCTGAGTTGATTGTGAAAACTACCAGATAGTAAAATCAAATGGTAATCTATTCCAGGAAGAAAAGATATTCATTTCTATTCTAAAGTGAGTAAAGTAGTATCTCGACGTCAGTATCCATTAACATCATTTCCTATATTCAAAAGGAGTGAAGATTTTTAGTTCTCTGGATCATACCAAACTAATTTCTGGAAAACCCAAACTATGGGAACTCTTTATTTCCCTAACTTAGTGAGGCAGCTGCTGAGCGGCCACCTTGCCTCTCTTCACCCCCTCTTCTAGTGACAGTCACCTCCCAGTGGCAGCCTGGTGTTCCGGCTCTGCACATACCGCACTTGATAGTTGTCCCATCATACCCAACTGTGTGTATAATAGGGAGAGTAAAGGAGAATTAAGTGTTTTTTAAGTGTTACGAGGATTTTGCTGCACTGTATGTACAAAGTCTTTTCCAGG